ACTGAGTTGTGTAGGCGAGGTTCGTCCTCACAGGCGAAATCCGAAGCAGTGGAGGGCGAGCCACGTGTTTGCGGGAAGAGCTTTGTGCTTGCCAGCTGGGGTAGCGTGGGTGTGTCAGGTCACATTAAATGCGATTTGACAAGGTGACGTCGTTTTCAGGCTTCGTTTTGGTGACGAATCGTGGCCGTTGCTTTCAAAAAGTCGTCCTTGGAATTTGGCCGTTAGATCAGCCAGAAACTGTCTCTCGGTTTGGGCTTCGGATTTGATCCACCCGATCCGTACCATGTTTTGACGGTTCCTCTATAACTATCGAACTCGAACTGTCAAGAGCAATCTGAGCCGTCGATCTCGATCGTGGCAACGCCTCACAACCGTAAGTGTTTTGTCTTTAAATAGGCTTCGTCTCCTTCCTTGGGAGACTACTATGCTTAGGAATTTCTGCTTGCTCGAATCTTCCAGAGAGAAAGAACTCGACTTTCATCTTCGACTCTCTGATATAGCGTCGAAAACCAAGAGATACGTTACGAGGGGAAATGGTTCAGACCATTCTTCTGGTGGCATCATCGTCGACGCGGCCACTGGCACCTCCGGGACATACTTCGGTAAGTTCAGTAGGCCGTTTGATGACCCTGCATTGATGAATGAGGTGGCACTGAGAAAATGAGCACTGTTTGCTCGTCTTCTTCAGCGGATTTTTGCCTTTTCTGGTAATTTTCTCCAATTTAGGCGAATTAGGCCTTTTTCAGGCGAACTTAGCCTTTGTCAGGCGGATTCAGCCTTAGTCAGGTGAATTCAGCTTTTTTCAGGCGAATTCAACCTTTATTAGGTGAGCCCAGCCTTTGCAAGGCGGGCTCAGCCTTGGTCGGGTGAATCCAGCTTTTGTTAGGTAGGTTTGACGTTTGTCAGGCGAACCCAGCACTTGCCAGGCGAACCCAGCACTTGCCAGGCGAAGTTGGCTTCGCCAGGTGACGTTCGCCTATAGAAGGTCGCCTGTTTGGAGGACTTAAGATTTTGACTCAAAAGTGTGAATTCTATTCTAACTCTCTTTTGCTTTGTCTCGCAGCCATGTTATCTGATGAGGCCCTCCCGAAGGGCGTTACCATCGGTCTTGCTGGTGGCACGGCATATGCGGCACCTCCCTGATTTTCGTTCCTCGGTCCAGTGTCTGTGTTTGTCGTCGACAAGTCCGCTAAATTGGTAAAGAGGGTGTCCGACGGGCATCACTTGAAATTACGCGAGTTGATTACCGACGTAGCGCTGACGGACGCAGCTAGGACGGAACTGAAAAAGCCCCAGTTCTTGTTTGGAGATGCTGCGACTGATCCTTCAGCTCTACTGCTTGGGGAGAGCAGGTATCTCCGAGTCGTGGGCGGGGTCCATTACTATATCCCTAGCATGCCGAGAGGGTTCTTAATTATCGAGCTGCGCTCGCTCTCAGCTTCGAGAATGATGAATTAGGATTTGATCCCTATTCAAGTCAGGGTGACTTGCGGGGTCTTTACTAGTTCCACCGCCGGGTATGGGATCGATAGCTCTTGCAAGCGCGTGACTGCTCTGTGTCCAGACTTGTTATAGAATGAATTACTTGTGGGGAAGATGACCACGGTGGCGGATACCTTCCGTCACCGCTT